TGTATAGATGAATAGGGGGGCAAAGAGGGCACCGCCTCTGGACTCTTGAAATTCCCACACTTCATAAAGTGAGCGCTAAGTGAATCATTAAACAAATTACAAATTAGTATGCCAGTTATAAATAGCAACAAAATATCTATACACATAAATAAATAAATAAGCTACAAGATCCTATAGAGAGAACATTCAGTTCAGGCCACCGCCTCTTCCCCACAAAACTGGGTAAACATATTGTATATGTAGTATGTCCATCAATGTAGTGTAAATATTGGCTCTACTCGTAATCTACTCTGTAGGTAGAAAAGTGCTGCACCAGCACCAACACCAACACCCACCCACCCACCACTGTACCGAGTACTGGATCGATCAGTCGTGTGGGTTAGTCAGCTGTTTGGCTGTTATGATGAGTGGGTTTTCGGTTGAATGGATGGATATTTTCGGTTAATCATAGGCACTTTATGTGGCAGAGGTAAATGGCATTCATTCGAGAGAAATTTGAGGGCTGTTACGAGGCCCAGAAGTTGACTCATTAGGAATATTTCGCCAAAAGTATTGCAGCTTAGAGGGAAACTTGGCGGGGAACGAATGGAATTGGAGAGACACGAAAAGAATGGAACACAAGGATTTCAGAGTTCACTATTCTCCTGCCTCGGGCAATTATAAATCTACATTCCTGTTACCTCTTATTTTCTCCATCGTTCCAATCCTCAACGAATTACACGAAACTATTGAAATTATAGGCCTATAAAGCACTTAGCCCTGACGTCACAAACCACAAAATAAACCGCAAAAAAAAAAATTAAGAAAGAAAAAAAACAGATGCAAAAAAATAGCCAATTACCCATTTTTACATCCCATTCATTATTCCATTCATGAATGCTGTACGATTTATGTACATATATGAATATATTTCAGAACGTAAGCAAACCAAAACAAATGTCGAATGCCTATATAAAGGAGATTTATAAAGAGCCGATCGATGCGAATGAAAGAGTTGTTATAATTTTTCGATTAACGAGGTAATTAGCAAACAAATTTATTGAATAATGCAAAAAAGTTGGGCAAAAAATAATTGAATTGAGTTTCCAACGAAAAAAGGGGAGCTAAAGGAAATGTGAATGTTAATGGGGAACGGATGACAGAGAGAGTGAGATAGATGCGTATTTGTATCTCCCCTCCAGCTGCTTATTCAATATTATTAATTACAAAAATGTGTGGAGCAACACCACACGAGATGTACTTTATACATTTGTATCTGATGGATACGAGAGTGCGATTTCACAACTGTGGAAAATATGAGGAGAACGATGGATGATGACTCAATCGGAATCGGCTGCTGTCTTCCAGTGCCACCACTCTTTACCTACTTTCAATATTTTGTATTGATGCTGGGCAAGATATTTGGCTCCCATTTGGCCAATTGACAACAGTAAAACATGGCCAAATATGTACGGTAGCTGGTAGCCCATGACGTAAGCGCCTTCGCTCACGGTAGCCGTTGCGTCGCATAAATAGGCAAAAAGAGGAAGGAAACAAAAAAAGAAACTTGAGTGCAAAACGCATGATTTATGGGCAGCAGACAGGGACAGACAGATACGATTCGCGAAATTACAACTCAAGACGATGGCGTCGCCCCACACACCCACACACCCAGAGACAAAGAGAGAGAGAGAGAGAGACAAGGAGGAGGGAAAGCATAAGCATAAGCACAACATAAGCGAAAGATAGGGTTCCGGTTTGTCAATCGATAAGGTAACGAGAGTACATATGTACATGATACATGATCAATGCCTGTCAAAACATACGATAACATAACGTAAAGAATAGCCAAAGCGTAGGCAAGGCCGCAGCCAAATATAGATAAAAGGAGTGGCAGGCAGCGAGCAACGGCCATAACGGATATGGTGCTAGGTGCCACTAGCCAATTTAGTCATCTCATTCTATAGTCTATAAATAACTATTCTGCATGAATCAATCATACAAGAAATACATACATACGTGGCTGTGCTTGTGCTTCATTCACAATGCATTCTACACACTCATTCACTCACTCACTCACTCCACTTACTCCATTCAAACACACTCGCACTCGCACACCAAACTTGTCAATCAAATCGAGGAGTTCCGTTTGTATACGTATGCTCTCTCGGTGGGTATGCTGATTATTTTGCTGCCAATCTATTTATATTAATGCAAGTTCTTTAGTGGTGTGGTCTGCAAGTGTATTCAAAGCTTCGGTTTGCAAAACTTTTTGCTCTCTCTCTCTCTCTTTTGCATTTTAAGAGATCAATGCAAACTCCGCTCACGCTCTCCCTCTCTCTGTGTATTAGTTGTTCTCTCGCTTGCACTCTCTCAGCATATTTTGCCTGCGACTGCACGTGTTGGATCCACTGCAGCGCAGCAACACCAACAACAACAACAACACACAACTACAAAAGTCGACGCCGACACAGTGGCGTATATGGTGGGGAGGGGGGTGTATTGGATGTTATTTTTGGTTTGAGGCTTCTTTGGTTTTTCCCTCTGTTTCTTGATGTTTTTCCGATTTTGGAGCTTGTGAAAGGAAATAATTACTTTATTTGTTGGTTTTTTTTAGGTTGCGTGTGTGTGTGTGTGTGTGTGTGTGTGTGTGTGGGTATCTGCTGCCAGCTGGGGCCTGCATTTCAAACAATTTGGAAATTTGGAATATTGTTTGCAAGCTTTTATTAGCTAATGCCCAATGTTCCCCACCCCACCCCCATCACACCCGCTCTGCCCATATATACATATTTAAAATAAACAATAATTAACAGTAAATAAAAATGGGCAGGAAATGCTGGGAGGAGCTGCTCGTTGCTCGCTGCTGCTGGCTTGTAGGTCAAGAAGCAGAACCTAAGGTTTCGTCTTATGTTGGAGAGTGTTGCAATGGTTGTTTTTCTTCTTCTTTTTTTTATTGCAGACAGGCGTTAGATACGTACCATAACGGTAAATGAACATGTGTGTAATGTGTGTAATGACGCATAATTGCTCTCCCTCACTCTCCTGCTGCCTCTCTGTTCAACTGCAGAGACAAATCACAATTGAGAAAGTGAGATCAGTGACAAATTATAATCGCAATTAGTTGCAGCTTTAAGCGACCACATCCGCTTCCACACACAGAGTAGAGAGAGAGAGAGAGAGACTCTGAGAGAACATTAGACAAATTTGCACATTTAATCAAAGACAATTGAATAATTGCCAGGCTGCTGCTCAATTGAGCCAAATAACTGGAGTAAGAACCAAGGAAATTGCAAACAGAGGAAAGGAAGTCTAGCTATAAGAGGCGAAGCTTTTGATACCCTTGCAGCTAGATCGTTTCCTTGACTGCAAGGTGGGACTACACCTACACGGCTTAGGTCTCGCATGGCGCATCCATTTCTCTTTGTCTAACCTCTCTACTATTTGCTTGGGCTGGACGGGCAGGTGAGAGTGGGACAACAATACCACCGCACCACCACTGTCCGGACAATCGTCAAGTGCGTTGTTGTTGTTATTGCTGCTGCTGGTGCTGCTGCTGCTGGTGGTTCTGCACTTCCTACTATGAAATTCTACAGAAATATTGTGTGCAGCCAGCACCGACGTTGGCGCAAGTGTCATTTGAGACATAAACACACACACACACACACACACACACACACAAGCATACACAAGCATACAAAATGCAGCAAAACAGCAGCAGCTGCTCCTCCACGCATGTGTGTGGATTTTATTTGAAATTCAAACTCCTTTTATGGTACCCAGCAATCAGAGGGTATCAAGGGTGTTATTTCATTTCGAATTAATATGTAACAGAGGGAAAATGTTTAAAATTTCTTTGGCTTAACTGGTTTCGGGGACAGTATTTTATATATTTTAAGCTAAATGGAGTCAATCATTCACTCTATTTAGTACCCCTCGAAGAAGTGCATTTAAAGTTATTTTCCTGCCTAAGGTATCAAGTGGGTCGACCTCCTGCACTGACTTCTCTTCAAGGGTTAGCACTAAAAATCATAAAAATCGCAGCCAAAAGCAGATGTAGGAAAACTATAAACCACTTTGGTAAATGGTAATGGGGAAAATGGAAAATGGAATATGGAATGTGGATAGACGGAACTCCGTGGCGACACGACGCCTATCCGCTCCCTTTCCGTGAACCCATTTTTTCCCCATATGAAACTCCTGGGATGAACTTTTGTGCCCAATTTTTTCAGTTGCCAAAAAAAAAGAAGCGCCGGAAATTGCTGGCAACTGTCGGCGGTCGCCAGATCGTCGTCGTCGCACTTTCCCTCCTTCCCTCTTTCCATCCCTATGTGTGTTACAATCAACCTGATTTCGCAGCAGAAGCAGCAGCAACTTGGGGAAAATTACATAATGGGGTTTCGGATAAATGGGAGCAATTCTATGGAATCAGCATCGACCGCCTGGCGTTTAATCCAAATTGATGCCAAATTGCCGCTGCTGCTGCAGTTTCAGATGATAATAACGATGATTTATATCCTGAGCGTGTGTGTGTGTGTGGTGTGTGTGGCAAAACACACATTTTCATATTTTTCCAGCGATTTGGCCCGGGAATCAGCGGGTGGCTAATTTTACTCAATTTTCGCTGCTGTGTGTCTAATTTTCTCCTCCCTGTCCCAGAGAACATTTCAATTCTATTTCACTTGGGATTTTCTCCATCTCTACGGGCCACCTACGGTGGCATTCAGCCGAGTGGAATCTTTCAACGAAATGAGAGTTTTTCGGGGTTTTTTTTCTCGCTGGACTACCTGAAAACCTGCGCCCAAGGCCTCCGGAAGGCGTGGGAAACATCAAAAAAGAAAAGCGACGAAAAATTGCAATTGATGGAAAAGAACTAGAAACCGAAACAGAAACGTGTGAAAATGTGCGGAAGACAGGAAACGTGAGAGGAAGAGTATCGTATCGAACCCCGTGTGGCATTCCTGGAATGGCCTTGGGTATAACAAGGCCAATGGGAATGCAATTTCTATTACACTATGCGTTACCTTATGCAAAAGATCCTGATCCCGATGGAAACTGCTGATCCGTATCCAACAAAGACGAGGTTAAGGTAGGCCGCTCCAAGCTCCACGCAGGGATTACGGGGACAGAACGGGACGCGCACACGGAACACACGGCGCACTCACGGGAAGAACGAGAACGAACACACTCCCGAGAGACAGAGAGATAGAGAGAGATTGACCGAAGGTGAGAGAGCTTTTCCTCACGATTGTGCACTTAATGGCGATTGTCGATTGATCCAAGTCGGGTATAAATTTTCACACTTTTCTTTTGCTACGTTTTGGCCAATTTCTTTTATTTTTTTGGAACATTTATTTGCACACACGATTATTTATTAAATGCTTTGGGGGGTCGGTCTCCCACACACATACACACACACGCATACGCATACGCACACGTAGAGCACGCCTCTCACACATAGACAAAATATTCATTCACGATACGATTACGGTAAGTATATGATGATCTTCGCGCTCGCTCTTTCATCCATGTTGTCTGCTTGTTGCTGTTTCTCTGCTACTGCTGCTGCTACTGCTCCTACTGTTGTTTTTGTTGTTGTAGTTGTTGCGGCCGAATGAAGAAAAATCCAAGAGAAAAATAATACTATATGAAATGAATGGCGACCACAAAGCAAAGACGCACAAAAAAGTTATTAACACGAACAAAATGAGTGTATTGCTGCTTGCTGCTGCTGCTGCGTTAAGGTAAACGTAAAGGTAAAGTGGTAGCACAGGCAGCAGAAAAAAAAAACCAACCAACGGAACCCGTATATATGCACGCGCTCGACGATTTTCGACGGCGTTTCCAAATTACACTTTCATTTTATACATTTTTGTGGTATTTTTCGTGTGTGTGTTTTCTAAGTTAGCTCAAACAGTGCACAATTTTTAATTTGGTTTTTAAATTGATGATGATTTTTTACTCGTCGGTAGCGCAGTCACAATGAAATTATTTTCGTTACGATGCGCGTTGCGTTCGCTGCGAGGTAGAGGTGGCACTATCGATAGCTGCCAGCCTCTACTATCGATGGTTTTGAGACTATCATGATAGTATCGAGCTACAGTCGTTGCTTTTTTGATATGTTTGGATTGGCTGCTATAAAATACGAAAACACATTTGTAAAGAAATCGACAGGTGGCATCTAATTTTTACAATGGACAAGTTCCTAAAAGGTTTCAATGGTTTTTTAATAATTATTTGAGCCCGATACTATCACGATAGTATCGATTGTTTTTTTCAAAACATTCAACGTTGATATTCCTCGAATTTGATATTTCGTTTAATATTGCTAGCTAGTTGGCCCTCTCAGCCCTAAACAAATAATTTTATCCGATAGATACATAAATTTTGTTCAGGATTGGCAAGTTTTCAGAAGTCTTTTTTATTGGATTATTTACATATTAAGGTTAAAATAAAAACAAAATAAAACGAATGTGACGTCGTTTTGTAGCGTTGCCAGACGCGTGCAATTCGTAGTGGCTGCGGGCTGCCAAACCATGATATTTTGTGATATAAAATTCGTCAATTTTGATATTCAGTTTAATATTACTAGCTAGTTGGCCCTCTCAGCCCTGAACAAATAATTTTATCCGATTCCTCAATGAATTTTGTTCAGGATTGGCTAGTTTTCAGAAAACTTTTTCATTCGATTTTTTACATAATAAGGTTCAAACAAAAGCGGCCAAAGTATAAAACGTAAATGTTGACTACATGTGACGTCATTGTTGCTGGTTAACCAAGTTACTTTTATGCGTATGGGTTTTTGTATACCTTATTTCTTTTAATTGATGTTAAATTTGTTGTTCCAAGCTCCATTGAAACATTATTTATGATTATATCCTAGATTGACATGTTGTTTACCTATTAATGCATATGTTTGTGTTTTATATAAACTTTTATCCCTGTTCTGATACCTATTATTGGAACCCGTGAGCTGAAAAATTTCGTTAATATCTTTAAAACAGAGACTGAGTAATTTCTGCATTAATTGAAGCCTGAAATTACAAACAATATCGCAAGTCCTTAATATCCATTTTCCCAAGGTATGCAGACTGAGCAACAGTGCCAAAGTTGCACAACAGTGCTGCTAATTCATTTCCCAATGTTGCTGAAAATTTTCCCATACAAATCAAATGTATCTTACGGCGTTACCGTTAAGAGCATGTGGCTCACACCACAAAAAAGGAGAGCAAATTTTGAAAAACCACCACGAATTGAGAGCGCATAGTATCGATATTTGTCAACGATAAATGGAGTTTGGCGGTCAATTTGAAATGTATCTTAATATATTGAAATATAAATATTTCACTTGATTTGTTTGGCGATTGCTTCGTAGATTGACATGATTTTACCTGTTCATGCATTATTATCTCCATTTGCCCAACAAACCCAGTTAATAAATTTCCCTTATTCGCTTATTTGATCAGCGGAACAAGGTGGCTTCCATGCTCAGGTTTGCGTTGAAAGTATGAGTTTTGAGAGAGCGAAAAATTATACATTTTCTATGTCTATGTATTAGGCATTATAGTATTGTTAACTAATAGATCAGAGATAATAGATGATATATAATTATACGATACGTTAAATGGTATATATTATTCAAAATATGCAACAGCACATTCTTGTGGCATTTCTTATCACTCCCCAAACGGTCACACTGCACTGCAACACGCGCTCGATACAGCTGAGGAAAAAATACAAATAAACAAAATTGGAATCAGCAAGCAACAAGTGCAGGGATTATGGGAGTTCGCGGCCTTACCAGCTATATAGCGCAGCGCGCTGAGATCTATCTGAAGCCGTACGAGCTGCACTCCACAGCCCTGGTCATCGATGGGGACAACTTGGCCTGCAATCTGTACAAAGATGTAACCGGCTGCTACTCGGCCTTTGGTGGGGACTACGACGACTTCTATCGCGCTGTGGTGCAGTTCTTTCAGGTCCTAGACGAGTGCAGCATCCGTCCCTATGTGTTGATGGACGGTGGCTACGAGGAGCGCAAATTGCGAACCGTCGGCAAGCGACTGAGGGGCAAAATCTCCGTCATCAAGAGGATCAATCCGAATGCGTCCATTACGCTGTTTCCGCTGCACCTCAAAGAGGTATTTGTGGATGCCGTCAGAGACTGTGGAGTGCCCATCATGCGCTGCGTATTCGAGGCGGATGACGAACTGGCGGCCTTGGCCAGGAAGCTCAACTGCCCGGTGCTCTCGTACGACTCGGATTTCTACATCCACAACGTCAAGTACATCCCACTGATCACGCTCACCGTCAAGGTGCTGACCAAGCAGGTGAAGCAGCACTCCAAGCCGAAGGATGCCCGCGACTTGCGTCGCGCCCAGGCCAAGCACATGGAAAAGCGTACAAAAGCCGGCAAAATTGTTGGCGGCATACAGACCACAGCTCCGTCTGCGGCTGCAGCTGCAGCAAAGCCTGGCAAGACCTACAACTATCTGGACTGCTGCATCTACCGCGTGGAGCATCTGTGTGGCCGTGGTACGCTCAGTGCGGAGAAGCTGCCGCTGTTTGCCGCTCTGTTGGGTAACGACTACATAGCCCGTTCTGCCTTCAGGAACTTCTTTGCCGCCGGAATGGGCAAAGCGGGACGCAGCAAGAAGTTGAAGCAGCAACAGCGACGCATTCGCGTGACCCTTCAATGGCTGCGCGGCGAGACAGCAGAGTCCGCCCTGGGCAAGGTTCTTTCCAGGCTGAAAAAGGTTTGATTTTACCTCTGGAACCCTCTAGAGATTTTCCCATTAATTCTATGATTTCTTGCAGTCGCAAAGGGATTCGCTGGTGGCGCAGGTGAACGCAGCCATTGAGGGCTACTCCAATGAGCTGTGCCATGCCTACGACTTTTTTGAGGATCACTACGAGAATGCCTTCCCCTACATCGAGCCAGTCAGCGAGGAAGAACAGAGCGACGAAGAAGGTCCGCTGGGCTTGGATGAGGATTTGTCAGACGTAGAAGAAGCAGAGGAGGAGCAGCAGCAGCCGCACGAAGAGAACGAGGCAGCAACCGGGGACAACAAAGCGCAATCAAACAGCGATGAAGATGAAGGTGAAGAGGAAACAGAGGGCGGCCCCGAACTGGAAGTGGAAGATAAAACTCTGCTGTTTCCGCAATGGTTCCTGGACAAACTCTATCCGGTGCATTTGTCCCGCTTCTTTGTGGACCTGCTGCATCTGCGCAAGTACATAAACAACCCACAGATCGAGCACTTTCCCCACCACGACTCCAATGAAGTGGCCCTGCCCATTCTCAACTATGTGTTTGCGTTGCTGCATCATGTGGAGGGCTCCAAGACGCAGCCACGCGTGAATAGCGAGGGTGTCGTCCAGCCCATTGAGTACACCTACCTGACGCGTGCCGTGCGTGTGACCAATGTGCGGTACCACAAGATGCCCATCGAGCAGCCGCCTGCCTATAGCTTTGTGCCCTCCGCACCGGATGCCAGACACCTTAGAGCGGTGTTCGATTCGAAAGTGCCTCATGTCCAGACGGAGCAACTGTTCGCGCAACTGGAAAAGCTGCCAGAGGATCTGCGCGTGTACTTTCTGGCCATTGTCTACTGGTTGCATCGCTCGGAGCACTGCGACCTGCTGCATCTGCATGCCCTGCTCCTCTGTTTGGTTGTGCTGCGAACCATAGATGTGACCATACCCGCCGAGAGGGAGGTCAAGTCTTTCCATCGCCGTTTTGGCAAGATCCTCAAGCAGGAGCGGGCAGTGCGGGACAAGGAAGCAGCCGATGGCATCAAGCGGGGTGTGAAACCCTCCCTGCTGGCACTGCCCGTGCCCGAGAGGATGTCGCATGTGCCCAAATCAGACTGTTACCTGGTGCAGGAGCGCCTCCTGCCCCACTTTCACATGCAGGAGATCTTCAAGAAGAAGTTCGATCTGTACTCGACAACGGTGCTGCATGCCTTCGCCGAGTTTCAGGCTGTGGTCTATCAACTAAACGGGCTGAACTCCCTGCTGGATCACCCACTGCCGAGTCCTCGCATGAACCAGCTCTACTGCGGCGCCCTTCTCTACAATCTCTACGATCTGCTGCGGAATCGGCCGGATGTGCGCTACCATGTGCAGCACTACCTGCTCTCCGACTCCCAGTTGATGTTTGACTTTTATTGCTTTCTGTTTGACTGGTGTGCGGCTTTCATTCCCAACTGGAAGCAGACGGATGTGGATCAGGCCGGCCAAAAAGTCCAGCAAAAGAAACGCTTCAAAAAGGAGCGACAGGCGGCGAGGAAAGCAGCAGAGGCAGCAGCGGCTGACTCCACAGCGACAGCAGATCCCAATGCGGATATGCTACGAACGGGAGAGGAGCCCCAGGCCGAGGATGATTTTTACGATTTAAATAACAAATTCTGTGCGCTTAAAGTTTCTTAACAAGTCGTCGGCTGTCTCTGCAGAGAGCCTCTGTCCCTGCCCCTGGAAGCCGTGCATGTACCAGGAATTTAATTGTAAATTGCTAATTAAATCAATTTTGAATTGTTTTTATGCTTGTACTCAAAAATATTAGATTTGTGGTAAAAGTGGATGTGTGTAACGCAGGGAAGGAAACGTTTCCGACCCCATAAAGTGTATATATTCTTGATCAGCATCAATAGCCGAGTCGATGTAGCCATGTCTGTCTGTCTGTCCGTCCTGTTGAGCGCCTAGATCTCAGAGACTAAGAGCTAGGGATATCACACTGCTACAAGTGTATTTCAAAATTTCGCCCCGACCCCTTCCGGCACGAAAATCTGTGGCAGGCATAATTTTAAAGATAAGATAAAACTATCGTTCGCAGTATCGTAGAGAAGGCCCATATCTACCAGATTGCCGAATCTGAATCAGATCGGATCATAATTATAGCCAGAATGAAGAAATTAAATTTCTGTTCCCCCTCCTCCTCATGCTACTGATTCTCTTTCTCGCTCGCACAATCTGCCTCGTTCAGTGCGCGAGCAACCCTTAGCGGAGTAGATGTAGAATATAAATGGTACATGTACAATGTACCTGTACAATCTTATGCTCAAACATGTATATACTGACTGAGTACGGGTATGAGTAGAGTCGCGTCCCCAGAAGCGACTCACACGTTCCTTCTCGTTTTTTATTTATTTGGCTTATTACTTAGATTGTTGATTAATTATAAATGATGCGTCTATATGCGGCTGCGCTTTCTCTCAGGTTCGTCGGCGGATTCCTCGATCCCGTCGGCATGGTCACGGCTGTCGTCGTCACTGCCATCGGTGTCCTCCTCGCTACTATCATCGGTGTCCTCCTCGTTGCGGTTGTCGGTGCTGCTGTCGTCGGGCCGTGGTCCTCCCTTTGTCCCGAATTTGAGAACAGGGTCCAAGAAGGACATGAGGGTGAACCAATACAACGTTGGCTTATAACGATACTGCGATTTCAGCACCCTCAACCTGTAGATGCGGTAGTGCGAGCGCAATGAATATATTTTACTTCTGACATCCCGCAGCGTAGCGTCTTCCTTGAACTGTCGCAGTATTTGCCAAAGCTCCTTGTAGCCTTTCTCCTTAAGCTCGGATGAGCGATATTCGCTAGACCCGATGTCCCATAGGGCACGACAGCGGCCGTAGCACGTTATAAAATCTACCACCCAATCGTCAGTGGCGATGATGTTTTCTTCTCCGGTTTGAGTTTGTTGCACTGCCGTTTTTTTATCCTTTTCTGCTTCGGTTTGAGATTTTTCCTCCTCTCGTTCCTTCTGTTTGTGGAATGTTTCAATACGAAACAAATTTGAACCAATAATTAATTTGCATACCCGAAAACATCCTGTGATGGCATTGAAGATTCGCTTCAATCCGGTTTCAGAGACGCGTTCCATTTTACTATATGCACAAAACTAAAAAAAAAGTTGCTAAATTCTGAATTACTGGATTTATTTTCCGAGCTAAACTTCACTTCCGATGTGAAAACAAAAAACCAAAAGATAACTAACAAAAAATTGCTAAATTCTGAATTACTGTATTTATTTTCCGAGCTAAACTTCACTTCCGATGTGAAAACAAAAAACAAAAAGATAACTAACAAAAAATTGCTAAATTCTGAATTACCGGATTTATTTTCCGAGCTAAACTTCCGATGTGAATGCTGACTGAGAACGGATTCGAATGATTTTTGTTTTTCCAAAACACCAGTGCCTGAAACGCTCACAGTCAAGGCACACTTTGTGCGATTCGGAGCACTGTTATGACCCCAACGACGTTTTCCAGTACTACTACGACGTCAACACATTCGTCCGTGGCAGCGCAGCGGCGTCGCTGTTGTTATCGTTGTAATCAATTCAGTCATAGAAGAAAAAAATACAAAATTGAAGCAGAAAATACGAACTAAAGGTGTTTTTGTTACGTTTGTAATCAGCGCCAGACACTGCCAACAACAAATGCATTTGCTGTGACCCCCCAGCTGTTGGGAGCAGGACGCAGCGGACGCAACAAAAAGGCCAAAACAAAGGCAGTAGCAGCAGCAGCAGCAGCAGTAGGCGGAGGCAGAGGCAGAGACAGCAGCAGCGACAAACCGAAACGTCATTGACGGGCAATTAACGGAAAACGAAACGAAAACGGAAGGTGACGCCTGCGACGGTGGCAGAGGGAGAAGCACTGAGATTATAGGACTGCGCCTCCATCCATGCTGGTTATCCTCGCCGATCAGCTAACGCGTATCATGGAGAGCGTCTTTGAGGCGTATCTGGGCCCGGACAGCGTCCTGGCCAGTGCCGTCGGCCAGGCGGTGGGCAGTGGCGAGCCAGAGGATATACCCAAACGGAACACAAACGTTTGGGTGCTCGGAAAGCGCTACAATGCCATACAGGGTGAGTGATGGGACACCCCATACAAGCGGAATCCTTAACTATTCCTCGCACACAGAACTAGAAGTCATCCGCAGGGATATACAGTCCCGACTGTGGTGTACCTATCGTCATGGTTTCATGCCTCTGGGTGAGGTGCAGCTCACCACGGATAAGGGTTGGGGCTGCATGCTGCGCTGCGGACAGATGGTACTCGCTCAGGCCCTCATCGACCTGCATTTGGGCCGCGACTGGTTCTGGACACCCGAGTGCCAGGATGCCACCTACCTCAAGATTGTTAGTCGCTTTGAAGATGTGCGCAAGAGCTACTACTCCATACATCAGATCGCCCTGACGGGTGAGTCCCAGAACAAGGCGGTGGGCGAGTGGCTGGGACCCAATACAGTGGCACAGATCCTCAAGTTAGTGGACAAGATATACACACATCTGGAGGGGGATTGTAATCGCTAACATTGCCCTGACACTTTCAGAAAACTGGTGCTATTCGATGACTGGTGTTCGCTGTTGATCCATGTGGCCATGGACAGCACAGTGGTGCTCGATGATGTCTGTGAGTGATGGATAAACTAGTAGCCAAAGCATCCATACTTATGCCTCGCCCTTTCCTCTGTAGATTCCCTCTGCCTGGAAGGAGATGCCTGGAAGCCACTGCTACTCATCATACCCCTGCGGCTGGGCATCAGCGACATCAATCCCATTTACATACCAGCCTTGAAACGCTGTCTCGAGCTGGACAGCAGCTGTGGCATGATTGGTGGCCGTCCAAATCAGGCTCTGTACTTCCTTGGATACGTTGAGGACGAAGTTCTGTACCTCGATCCACACACCACACAACGGACGGGCGTGGTGGGCCAGAAGCTCAGCTCAGGGGAACAGGAACACGACGAGACCTACCATCAGAAGCATGCGGCACGCCTCAGCTTCTCCGCCATGGATCCCTCGCTGGCCGTCTGTTTTCTGTGCAAGACCAGTGACAGCTTTCAGCAGCTAATCGGCAAACTGCGGCAGGAGGTGCTGGGCATGTGCTCACCGGCGCTCTTCGAGATAAGCCAAACACGCGCCGTTGATTGGGACACGGCGGAGGATATTGAATGGCCGACAATGCCGGATATCGACTGGCCAGCTGGCACCTCAGACTCGGACTCGTTTGCCATAGTGGGTGAGTAGGGGAATAGGATTAACAGTCGCTTCTGTCTGCAGGTTTTAAATCTGTATGGCACTCTGAACTCAACTCTGTGATGTTTCTATAGTGAAACATGGTCCATAATAATTACACTGTGCGAAAAAATGTAAACTCTTGAAGGTACTTTGCACGTGAAAAATATTCTACATATTTTAAATATTTGGCAATATATCCCAAAATTCAATACCCGCTCTTCGGTGACTCCTTCGCTGACTTCTTTTTACTCAGCATCTGCAGCGCGGATATCCACTAAAATTACTAGGTTGAAATGAGAAGTGTAAGACCTTTTACAGAATTTTTAATGCTGGTGATAGAACGGATATACCTGAATATATAGCGATTCAAAGTTGAAGTTTTCTATTATTATTAATACATATTAAAAAAATATTTAAGAAATATGAAAATTGCTGAATTGAATTGTTGCTTAATTGTATATTTAAATACTTTAACTATTTCAAATTAATCCAGCAAATTTCTGCAAAAATAGTATAGTTTATTAAACACAAAATAGAATGAAAATAGTTTAACTCAAATGATATTCGCACAGTAATATCTTTTTAACTCTAATTATGCAAGTGTTCTATGTTTTTTCGCCATTTCAAAAGTTTAGAAATTGAAAAATCAAAAGACTTCCACTGTTCCACTCAACCATAAAATTCTCACTCGATTTCCACTCAGCACTCAGCAACGTCTTATCAATCCATTCTACTCCACAGAAGAGAGCGTAAGAGACGGCGACGCTGCCGGCACCAGCAACAGCAGCAGCAGCAAACCCAGTGAGAGCGCCGTCGTTTGAGAGAGAGAGAGAGCACCAGTTCGTTGGCTCTCCCACGCGACGCCTGCGCCAAACAGAACAAAAGCAACAACAATGAGCGAAAGTGGAGCAGAGGCAGCGACAGCGGCAGCGATAGCGACGGAGAGCAGAGCCCGGCGGATGCTGCAAATGCAATAAAATAAGGCTAGATAGAGTGCAAGGTGTATTCCTATAATGTGGGTGAGGCAAGGCCCAATGATTGCTCTTCTGATAACTCAGGAGAGTGGCAGAGTCTCACACTATATATAGGAATATAGCTTGGCGAAAGAGTAAACCGATGGGATGAGACTTAGCTATTAAAAATGTTTCCGATTTGTACCAATACGATTCTTTTTCATAATGCTGCTTTATTGTACGAGATTGACTCCATGGGAGACAACAGCAACAACAAAAACCACAACAACAACAACACAAAAAAAAAACAACACACACTGTTCATGCTTTTTGATGATCAATTAAACATTTTTATGCAACCGTTGTACATTGAGAGATTTTTTCACATTAATGTATGCCATATATTCATATTTCATATTCGTATATTCGTTTGTATATTTTTATGCTCAAAAATGGACCAACAACTAAATACATAATACTTGGACTATATATGTGTATGTATGTCTGGTATAACTATATGTAGGTATATTATATATATGTATGTATGTATTTTTATATATCAATTTCACTATGCGCCTGCGGCTGTAACAAACACAAAAACTACACGGAAATAAGGAACTTTCACGCTATGCTGCGTTAATGAGGAACCAAAAAGGAAAAAGGAAAAACGAGTCACACTAACAATCAAAGAACTTCTACCGACTTTTGCAGCTGGCAAAAATTGACACTAATTTGGGCATGGCCTGTGGCAGGTCCTGTGGCTGAAACTATGCCCCGCCCCCACACCAAAGAAAGGCCTTCTTCCATAGCATAAATATCTAGTGGAAATTTTGTGGGGCTAGCCTTAAGCATGTTTTCGTTTGGGCAGTGCAGAAACGAGATACAAGTGGGAGGAGGGAGCTTGTCAGAGATTTTTGTTATTTTTAAATTTGGTTTATAAAGTTCCACACTCCAAAATCTGCTGAAAAGTGAGTGAGATCTTTAACTTGCCAGCCAGATCTCTCTGTTGAATTTTGAGCATGCTTTAAATAAATTTTAGAACATTTTTTAATGCCAAAATAAAAACATTTTTCGTGGCTTTCTTTCAAATTAAAAATCCTTTGCTGCTGCCCCACTAAGTATGCTATGGACAAACGAGTTTTACCTTTCTTCAGGGGGCACGGCACACAAACCAAAGCTTGACCAGAACCAGGTGAGTAATTTAAAACATTCAACAGGTTTTTAGCACCCCCCTTCTTAGAGTATACAGCAGGAGCGCTCGATGCGCTTCTCCACCTTGGGCTCAGTATGCAGTGCCATCTCGACATGTTTGCGTGCCAGCCAGGACTGCTTCTGCAGCCGATTGACCACAATGCGATAGGCTCCAATGATGTCCGAGCGTGGCCCACTCTGCCGGGCATTGAGCAGCATCTCCGAGGAGAGGCCCAGCTCGGCCAGCAGCTGGCGTGCCTCAAACTCCAGGGCGCCCAGCTGGCTGAGATCTTCGGTGGCGGTGGGCAGCATTACACAGCTGCCCGTCTCTGCGTCGTAGTTCTTGAACAGTGGACAATCCTCGGCCACCTCCACATTCCAGGGATTTATCTTGCCCGCGGGACACTGTCCGCCATTCGACAGCTGCTTCTCGGGCTCCGTCTCCATGGGCGTGACCTTCTTCTTGAGCGTGCCGCATAATAGATAACGGCGACCCGGACGCTTCACCGGCTCAACGGCTGCCTCCTTTACCAGGTTGGGGTTGGGCGCCTGCAGCAGCAGCAGCTCGTGCCCCAGCTCAATTGGCTGCAGAAAGTTCTGCACAAACATCTCGTCCTGCTGGCGCGTATTCATGCTAATGGCCGGCTTCTTGACCACCTCCGCATAGCGGTCCCGCAGCGAGGCGGACTTTCTCAGGCGATGCGACTTGGTGCGCACCCAGAAGATGGAGCGCTTAGCGGGCTTGCTGTGCAGATTGATCTCGTACTGCATGAGATCGGCGCTCAGCTTGGGGCACGTCACAAACTGGCTGTTCAGCATGTCATCGATGGTGGGCCGCTGGGCGGGTATGTGAATAAGAACACGTTCTGTGGGGGGGGGCATATTTAGTATAAGTATAAGTATATTTATATAAGTATTTCCCCCACTTACGAATTAGTCTTATGCAGGGCAAACTGAGTTGTCCCGGCAGCAGATAGTCCCCCTTTAAAATGGCTGCCTTGAGGCCGGGTATGGTGGGCGCTCGAAATGGCATATTGCCAACGACCATGAAGTACAGCAGAATGCCCAGGGCCCAAACATCCACGGGTGCGCCTATATAATGATCATCGGAGAAGAGCTCGGGGGCGGCATATGGCGGTGAGCCGCAAAATGTATCGAGCTTCTGATTGGCACCTGCACGAGGGTCAAACGCTGCATGAGATGGATGGATAACGCAGAAGAATTAATGGGGCTTACCATTAATGAGTTGTGTGCTGAAGCCAAAGTCGGCCAGCTTCAGGCGATCCTCTGAAAGGAGCAGCACGTTCTCTGCCTTAATATCGCGATGCACATAGCCAAGGCTGTGCTGTAAGTTCAAGACGAAAGTTATCAAGGAATCTGACTAAGGTTAGGGCTAAATATTATCACTCACCATATGCTTGACAGCCAGCAGCAGCTGTTTGAACAGAGGCGCCGCATGAATCTCCCTCAGTGGGCCGCCTTGGGTGATGTGGTTGTAGAGTTCCCCGCCGCGTATCCACTCGGTGACCAAATAGACACGGCCTAAAGTCTCAACCACCTCGAAGAGCCTACAGCAAATTGTGTTAAAGAGAACACAGCCACGAGAGCACAAAATGTTTGGGGTGTCTCACCTTAATATATTTGGATGATGAACACACTCGAGTGTGGCTATCTCGCTGGACAGCATGCGCAGCGCCTTGGCATCGAGTCCAGCCCGATCCAGATCCACCACCTTAATGGCCACTTTGTCTGCCCATCCAAATATGGTTAATATTATGTACTTTAATAAATAGTAAACCAATTGGACTTACCACGCGTCAGCTGATGTACAGCCAGTTTGACTTTTGAGAAATTGCCGCGACCGATGTCGCCACAGAATCTGTACAGACCAATGCGACGGCCAATGGTCACCTGGAAGATAAAGCCATGTGCGCAAATTTTTATTATTAGATTAACAATCTGATACAAGTTTTAAGGAAATTATTTAATTATTTTAATGGTGATTCATTAAATTTTAACGCTATCTCTGATGTTTTTTTTACATAAATTCCTATTTGAGTTCCTTATACAAAAGTCATTTTGCTGTCTGCCTACGCTACATCCTGAATGATGGGTAAATAGTAATGTCTGACAGCCATTGATTTGTTTTGCATGCAATAAACCTTTTGTATGCATTTTATTTTAGTCAGTCTGGCTACATATTTACCTCATACATTTTAAGCCCATTACACACAGCCAAAAAAGCACTGAGAATCGAATAGTTAGACTTAGACTTAAAGACTTATAGCCATAGATTTCACACAACTGAAGGGAAGTAAAGACGCAGCCCAAATAAATCGGAAAAGAAAACTCAGCATATTTATTTAACTTTGTTTTGGTTTTTACGTTTGACATGGCTTGGCTATAATTAAATAAATCTTAAACTAAAATATGTGCAGCTTCCTGTTGCCACCACAAAAACAAAATACATTTAAGATTCTAGGCTTGTGCCTGTTAATTTTTGTTTTCCATTCAATTAATAAACAATTTGTCTGTCGTACACTCTATTTGATTCGTTTTGTTTTGACTCCAAATTAACCCATAAGCAACTCTACAGATTAAAACCAAACATATCAAAAAGATCTAAAGGAACTCCACAAGCATAATAAATTGGTATACTCTTGGAATAAATTTCACATTCATTTGGCTTAAATTTCAAGTAATTGTTTGCCCAAAAGCCACACTCCTTGCTTTTCCTCTCATGTCAAAGTATGAGCAATTTCCTTATTTGATTTCCACCAGGGACAAATGTCCCAACTACCGCCTTGAGCTTGGGGGGCCATCGAATGCAGCGATTATATTTGTTGTGTGCACATGTTGTAACAATTAACATTGACTGCGCCCGCGCCCCCACCCGCACCCCCACCCTCATTCCGGTGCCCGTAACTTGTTGGCCGTAATTTATTCCCCATTTGTAGCTGTGCGCTGAATGTGCTCTTAGAAAAGTGCCTCTGCCTGTGCCTGTGCCCTCGCTCTTGTTGCTGCACTCACAATTAGTCAAGGTCAAGGGGGCACCATTTTTTTTTTTGTTAATGTAATTTGAACTGTGGTTATTCAACTTATCGTTGCTTCCACTTGCTGCTGCTTGTTGCTGCTTGCTGCAGGTCACTGTTGCTGCTTCTTTTTTTTTTTGTACCTTTTTTGAGTGATACTCGTATTTATCATGAGTAGATATATATAGATTTATTTTTCTATTTGATCAAAATATTTCCTTCTGTCTATTTTTATGCAAATAAACTCCCAAATTTTTATTCTCATATATTTTGTAATTCCATTTCTCTAAGTGTATTAAAAGCCTGTGCTGCGAAATCCTCTGCTTCTTTCCTTGTTTTATTTTCTGTGCTTTCTGTGCTGCTTAATCCACCTTTTAAGCCATCGAGAGGTGTGCTGTGGTGTGGGCGTTAATTAAGTCGAAACGCAACGAAACGCGGCGTATACGTAATGCGGCTGCCTTGCATTCGGTCACACGCGCACACACAAAGCCGTCCCCGCGTAGCTCAATTCCACGGTGAATGCGCTCAAACATACAGACTTCTGCCTCTGCCACCCTCTACCACCCTCCCCCACCCTCTCTAACCATTTCAAAGCCATTGGTGCACAAGCAAATTAGCCTTGAACCTCCGCATAATTGCAGCGCTGCTGCCGCTGCCGCTGCAGAGGGTTTGTGTATTAGCTAACACAAGGCGACAATGGCCTGGACCTGCACCTCGACCCGGCCTGACACTGTAGCTGCTGTGACGTCAGCATGTCAGAGGTGAACTCTTTCTGTGCCGCCGCTTACCGCTTACCGCATAAATTGTACAGGTTGCATGGTATCCTTTTCCTACATACTCGTGCGAGCATGAAACCATTCATCATCGGCAAGGACACGCAAATCTGGCACAATACTCGCAAGTTCCCTGCCATGACACTTTGTGAGGATAAAATTTGTGTCCTACCAATTTAGATGCTTTTGACACCCAGAAACTGGGCCAAGTGGAAATTTATTTGTTAAGCGGATGCTTAGAAATGCACAAATAAATCTATGGGTTGGGTTTCACCATGTATATGTTACGTATACATATGTACATGTATATGTATGTACCTATACATATAGTGACAGATTAGAGATCCTTAAGCTAAAGTGAGAGACAGCAAAAAAGTGGTTTACCATCCCAATTGCATCAAAAACTTATGAGATGAGATTTAATATATAATTAATATATTCATGTATATATATATTTTTATATTATTTAATACAAGATAATGTTTGCATCCTTAGTCCTTCCTGCTTCATATTTTACCTTGAGATTTTATATTAATTAATGACTTTTTGGGCTTAACTTTGGGAAGAAATCCCTCTCAGGGAAAACCATATTGGAAATCTTAATCTTCCCCATGAAACCTCTATAATTACTGACATCAAATTGTTGCCATTGCATATAAATTATGCACCTCCTCCACTCTCTAATCTTTTGACTTTTACCATTAATTCGCATACTTATGTACGTGTACACATTTTTAAAACTTTTTATGGGCTTTTTAATGACTAAAACTATTCAAATTCCTTTTAACTCTTATGCTCGCAATTGAAATATTCTTATTGCTGCATAGTTTTAAATGGTTTTCACATATTTTTGCCAAATAAACTTTCAAAAACTACTTAAATTTAGCTTCATTTTACTATACGATAACTACACTTAGAAAAAAAAGTACTAAGAACTATAAGAATTAAGTATTGCTTGTGTTTTGGTCCAGTTGTGTTACTTAGCCTGCTAATTAAGTTTCTGCTTTAAGAGTTATTGGCTTCAAAATCCACATAAAATATGGTAGAACATAATGTACATATTCATTTTATCGTTAATCGATGTTAAACGTTACCTTTACAAATTATACTCGGACGTAGGCTTATCCCAGAACATATACAAAAATTGAATGTAAATTACCATGGGGTTCTTAATAGCTTAAAAATGTGAACTGTAGGCCATACTAATTATGGGTTCATATATGTCTTATAGACCGATATTTGAACTTCACGAATATTAAACTGCTTGTGGCATGCACATATGCTCCCTTTTTAAAGGAAATGTTTTATATTCTTAAAAGTTTCCTTCCTTCTAATTCTGTGCCATTCTCAATCTTATTTAACCGATTTCGGTTTTTGTAATCACTTAGAAATGTATTTGCCGCCCGTTTTACACTTAGTTAAAGAGTAGAGAGTAATTATCAGATGATACTTTAGTTTACTTTACCTCAAATTTGCTGCTAGAGAATCGCCTGTTAGTGCCATCTTGGCCCCTGCCCATGCCCAACTCCCGCCTCACGCCCACCCACCTCAGATTGCACTCACCTCGTGTCCGCAGCGGGGATCGCATTGCAGCGCTTTGGTTAGCCGCTGATAGGGCGGTGTGGGTGGGGGCGGCTGACAGATTGCCAGCGACAGTGCCGGTGCCGTTGCCGGTGCCAGTGCCGGCGGCAGCGACAGCGACAGCGACGGCGTCGATGTCGCTTTCACAGTGGCGGCTGAACTGCGCAGCGCTTTGGTATCCACGGCTGCCGTTTTGCTGCTTACTCTCCTCTCTCTGTGTGTGTGTGTGTGTGTGTGTGTGGGGCCCCTTCTGTGCTGCGGCTGACAGTCAAAGAGCGACGGACAGAGAGAGAGACGTGTGGTATGTGGGGTTTGAGTTGTGTTTGAGTCCAAAGTACGCTCTGAGGGTTTGGTCTTGGAGACAACTTGTTGGACGTCCTTGTGCTGGTTGAGTCTTGGGTCCTTGCCTGTCCAAGTCCAAGTCCAATGTTCTTCCTGCCTTCCTGTTGCTCGCCTGAACTCGTGTGTAATTACAGAATGGCAAGTCCTAGCGTCTTAGTTTCGGAATCGCCTTACATTATTAAATGCTTTCGCCTGCGCCTGGTGGTGGGGGGACACGGCCACGCCTGCAAAATAGACACAATGGCAAACAAAAGTTTGGTTAAGCGAAAACTTCCACCAAGTTGATTTCTATTATTGTTGTGGCGATACAAATAAAATTGAACAGATACGAGTACGATTATAAGCGGATTGTGTTACTTATTGCGTGGAAATGTTTCTGGGCAAAAGTTTAAGCCAAATAAAGAAAAGTTCAGCAATTGTTGGATTGCGATTGATTCGTTCAGTGGTTAGAGTCCTTCCTGCTGTGGGAATTCCTGTAAGACATTTTTGGGTTTTGCTTTATATGAAAACTTGTGCGAAAATCTTCATCGAATTGAGCGAAAACTTTTGATGTATGCAATCACAAAATATAAATCAAATAATTTAATTCATCTTTTCGGCAATCATAAATTTAGGGTCTTAATAACCCCCCAAGGGCAAAGGATGCAAGCGGACTAAGATCATAAATTATGCTAATTCTAACAAGTTCAACTCACTTTGCTGCCTTGAGGAGTAAATCTCTGGTGCAAAAATATTCCAAGTAAAATATAATTAACGGCTCCAGAGGGTTGGCAAAATGAGAAAACTTTTTTGTGGGGGGTAATCGATAGGGTTGCGGGCTGTGGGGGATAACTGCTTTAGTTGCGGAACAGATTCCAAATGAGCGACTAAGCAATTCTTCAATAATTTAATAGGGAAAAGGTCTCGTTGCGCGCATCCTTTGGCGGCGGCAAAAGTTACGTTGAAGTAATTACGTAAATGGATTTTCCCTCATTTCATTTTATGCTCTGTTTTTTTTTTTTGTGTTGTTGCTGATTGCTCTGCTGCTGCGTTGCTCAAATTTCCTGCACGTCTTCTTCAATAAAACACAGAAATGGCAAACAGAGCAGAAGACGTTACAGAAAATGGCAGCAAGAGGTATGGGCCTTGGCCCCATGAGGGGCAATGGGGGGCAAATGTTTGTATAGCAATCGGTTGTGCCAGCCCTGTCCTATGTATGCCGCCCTCAAGCGTGACAGGAAGTTGCCCAGGAAGGAAGCAAGCAAAAGGCAAACGACTGACTAAGCCTGAACTGAAACCAACGGGCAGGCGACAAGCCGTTATAGAGATATGCCAGCAGCAGTTCTAGTGCCAGCATATAAATATAAAAATATGTACATACATATATGTATGTAAATATATACATATATATATGTATGTATATATATTTCGCACTATAAACATTTGAAATTATTATAAAAGCCCCCCGAAGCTTGGCACAAACTTTCAGGGCAAGTCGGCGACAGGCGACGCCATCTTTCTGATTGACTGACAGCTGCAACGCGCCCCCCACCCCATTCAAGTGCGGTTCTTGTGGCTGTGGCTTAGAGCGGGTTGCGTGTCCCTGTGTGTTTGTGTGTGTGAGCGGGTAGCACAATTAAATTCACATTTACATTCACATTCCAGTGCCAGATGTCACAGATGTGCCACAGGGCCGGCAGCTGAAGCCTGCCTAGCCGCACAAATAGTCGTAGTAGGAGGAGCCCGCAATTTCATTTTGGCGTTGAAAAGTATGCAATGAAATTTTTATACGCGGTACGTGAAGTGTGGAAGGCTATGATGGACTTGCGGGGAGGTTTGCTAGCACATAAATTATGAATATTAATTCTACCAGAATTGCGGCTAAAGGAACCCCCGTATGTCCCCTTCTGCTCAAACACAGAAATAGTCTGTGGTAGCAATCATTTGAAAGATAATGATGCTCCCATTCGGTAGTGCCAGACACATAGCAATTATCTACTGAAATTATCAACTTGATAAGATAAATTCTACAGACAGAATGAGAAAAATCATGACGCTGTTGTCATCCCAAAGTAATTTGCGATCGTTGAATTGACTTGCCTTTACTTTCGTTAGGAATGATGATAGTTGATTGGTTCGCAGATGTATATATGTATGTACATACTAGAGTTGGGTTGCTCATGAGTGAGTGAACAAAAATGAGCTGTTCACTTCACTGAGTGAACTGAACATGTTCACTCGATTTTTGTTCAGTTGTTCACTTGTTCAGTTGTTCACTCAGTTGTTCACTTGTTCAGTTGTTCACTCAGTTGTTCACTTGTTCAATTGTTCACTCAGTTGTTCACTTGTTCAGTTGTTCACTCACTTGTTCAGTTGTTCCCTGTTGACTCACTTGTTCAGTTGTTCCCTGTTCACTCACTTGTTCAGTTGTTCCCTGTTCAAGATTACTCTGCGATACACAAGACAAAATTACTTTTAGCCATATGACATTAGACTTAGACAATTTTGCTGCGTAGAGAGGGATATCACTAGAGACAAAATGCAACATTATTGTTCGTAGCAGTCTCTAGAAACGTCTAATGGCTTTTAGTAGAACAACTAAGGCACTACTGACACACAATGATGTTTTCCAGCAGAACACAGACACCAAGCCAGCATAATTGTATCCGCAAAGTAAAATTTTCGATAAATTCTGCCGCAGCGCTTCTCCCAGCTCAACTGGACAGCCAGCTTGACGCACATAGTTCTCTCGCTCTGACTGAAGGCATTTCCCATAGGCCATCTTTATTTTTTCAGCTAGTCAGTTAGCAAGTCTCATGTCATATGGCTATTTGCAGATGTTACACTTGGCCTTTTGGTCGTCCAAATGCTCAAAATGATCCCAAATCGAACTTAAACTGCGTTTTAGATACAAATTCTGTTCACTTAACGGCTAAATTTTTTATTTTTATTTTTTATTAAATATTCCTACCGTATTGAAATACATGAATAAACTTTTTTTTGCCTTTTCTTTTTCTTAATAAAATATTCTTACTTTTTGGATCGATATCTTTAATATTTGGGTGGGGGGGTTTGCTAAACATACTTATTCATACATATGTACATCTATTTGTATGTATTTCGAATGAACCACAAAAATAAACTGGGGAAAATTAACAAATGTTTGAAAAACAAAGCATTGAACTGAGTGAACCACTGAACAGGGAACAACTGAACATTTGAACAAGTGAACAACTGAACAAGTGAACAACTGAGTGAACAACTGAACAAGTGAACAACTGGTGAGCAAGTGAACAACTGAGTGAACAAATGAGCAACTGAGCAAAGTGAGCGAGTTGTTCACTCACTTAAAAGTGAGCAACTGAACTTGTTCAGTAAAGTGAACACTCTTTACCCAACTCTAGTACATACATATGTATTTAGGTGGTATTCTCTGTCCGAAGTATCCTTTATGGCGGTTTGCTGTAACGCTTTTTCTCACTTATCTAACAAAGTCAGGCTCTGGCTTGCTCTCTCTATCTGTCTCTGTTTGTTACTGTGTGAGTTGGGGGTTACCTTGGTTGGTTCCACTTTCAGTCACGCATACATTTGCATGCTAATGACACCCCCCCACGACCACTCTGTGGGCTGCGTACTGTACTAGAATTACAGTTTTAATTACAAAACTAAACATGAATGCATTTGATATCAAACAGAAAACAGCAGCCACGACTGACGAGCAGCTTCAACTTTGTGCAGTTTGCAATTTGCGAGAGAAACGGAATACCAGAGTGAGGAATGATGAGGGAAGATACGAGTATAGTGCTGAAAACTAGAGGGAGAAGATATGCTGCTGCAAGTAAGAGGGTGAAGATATAGTGCTGCAAGCAAGAGGGAGAAGATATTGTGCTGAAAGCTAGAGGGAGAAGGTATAGTGCTGCAAGCTAGAGGGAGTGTAGTGCTGAGCAGCAGGGAGAAGGTATAATGCTGCAAGGCTGGGGGGAGAAGATATCGTGCTGAAAGGAGTAGGCGGCATACAGCGCTGAAAGGGAAAGGGGAGAGAGCTAAATGAGATGATAGTTCCACACTCGAAAACGTTTCAAGTTTATTGCTGCAAAGATGGATTGCTCGACACAAAAAAAAAAAAACGTGAAAGAAATCCCCATAACTAGGTCAGAAATGTTTGCATAAAAGAAAAAAAGGGGGTAATATGGAAAATGTGTGCAAAATGTTTCTAGGAAAAGTTTCAAACAAAAGTTGAACAATTGTTGCGTGTTAATTGTGGGTCTTGGTAGGAAAGCAGCCCAAAGCAGGCTGTTGTTGAAGGGGAACTCTAACAGAGAGAGAGAGAGAAATGCCAGACTCGTTAATTTTGAATATATCCTTAAAAATTATATTAATTCTGATTTTAATCTGAAACTGAATAAAACTTTATAATTCTTTCTATTTTTTGGTTTGCATTCGAGCAAATATTAAGTATACGACAATTTTTATTATTTTTTAGATACATTATTACCATAGAAAACAATTCTATTTAAGCTGAAATAATAAATCACATTTTCCAGGTAAAAGAAAAAACCAAAACAATTAGCATGAAATTATTTATATATTTTTCACAAAATAAACACGAAATATGAGAGATTAATAGTAAAATTTACAGGCAATATCCGCACATCAAAATAAAATTCGTTGGAAGTTAAATAACAAAAAACGAATGAATATTATTATGCCAAGAAGATGATAATTAATTCTCTTGAAAGTCAAATAGAACACAGAATTTTCCCGTCTTAGCTATACAAAAATCGATCATGGATATGGAATTGGCAACAAGACTCAATGACTATGTTACGAGTAAATTAACAACAATTCGTTTGCATTAGTATGTTAATTGAAACGTGACACGAGCTTAAGCAAATGTCAAAATAATTTTTCTATAAATAAACTTATTCATCTGTCTGAGACAGCACATAATTTATTTTAATAAAATATTCATAAAGAAATAAACTATTTAATAATTTTGATACGGCCGTTGGTTTTATACCAATTCAATGCAGACTTTACTCACATAAGTACATACATACATACATATGTGCAAATAATTATCTAAAAACAGAAAATTGCACTTGTGACATCCTTCCTATCCTTCCTTCGCCTAATTAATTTTTAGATTCATTTCTGTAAACTA